GGACTATACTTAGAATCGATTGATTTTCTCCTTTCCCTAGCCAGGGTGGTGTGTATTTACGTACTCTCTTCGCCAGATGTCGCGCTTTTCGGCCCGCTCTACAGAGGCAGTTGAAGGAATAAATGCGCGTGGATGTGGCCTGTAATTGTAGTCGGTCTTTACCCCCACTCGTATACCGGGAAGAGTTGATGAAGTATAGGCGTACGTTTGCCGCCGTGAAGGCACTTCTGACTGCTGTCCTTAGACTTCGCCTTACCAGATCGTTTGCTGTGTCTCCTAGCAAGGGCAGACCTATGAATAAAACTTCCTTTTCTGCCGTTGCAACGGCAGCCTTTGTGACACGCTCCTTGATGTTCCGTAGGATGAACCTTTCAGGATTAATATTTTCGTGGAGTGTATTCTGTAGGCGCTGCAATTCTACTTCCGCTGATGCATTGTCCCGTTTGGGTTTTCTTTTTAAACATCCGACGTTGTATTGAACCGTCCTCTTGTCTGTGTAAGAGGACATCCGGGAAAGTGACTTCACCTCCATTTTCGCAAAACATTTTAGTGCTGTGTGAGCCGTTGATTTCGACTACGTCCACTATGTGACCGAGAGCGAGGAGCGCAAGTACCGTGACTTAAGTATAAAAAGGCGAGAGTAAATTTGTTCTGTATAAACCGTACACTATCGGTGTCATGACCTGTCTCATCTGCCTCGAAACCCCTTTCGGTGGGAGTGCTAAGGAGGTCACATTAGGAAGGAGCAACTGCAGCCCGACTTTCAGTCAACCAGTCGGCGATTTCACGCAAAATTCATACTGAACTGACTGTGCGTGTAGAGAGTTTTCCAGACAACTGACAATATTTCAAGCCACGGTTTTTAGCGCACTGTGATAGCTTCAACCGCGTCAGATTTTCGAGAGTGAGAGGAATGCGCCAGGCCGTTAACCTCACTCTCTCCCCCACCGTCACCATCAGGCCAAAGTCCGAGTCATGGGATGGGCACAGTGGCTGATATGACCAGTGAACCCGTCAGCGCGCGCCGCTGGGTGACTCGGATTTAAAAACGTCATGACCCCGACGTGATTTGAACACGCAACCTTCTGATCTGGAGTCAGACGCGCTACCGTTGCGCCACGGAGTCACGCATAGACGCCTACCCAATTGCACACAAACAAAGCGCTGTAAATAACGCACTATTTTGAGTTAAAGCAGGCTACTCTGCGAACACGGAGTATGAAACATGACCTGATTATTTGTTTATCCTTCCTCCCCTTAAATGGCTACCCTAGAGAATTTGTACGCTAACGCACCAGGCAACAGAATTAAAAAGCAAAAGATAAAGAAATAGGTTGTTCGAATCAGGTTGTTAAACCAACAAACGGGCGAAAATTTCCGTCCCTTAAACTGTGTCTGAACCTGTGGAAAGATAACTTAGGAAACACCAGACGCAAGTGGTGCAACAAGGTACAAATACACTCTGCATGTCGTTTGAGTACCAGAATGTAAGGGTTGGCTATTAGGATAAAAAGAAGCCAGCAAAAGATTTCGTGTAACATCTGAAATTCAGTATACTCTGGCCAAACTTGAAAGTCTGTCTTTACACACATACGCGGAGATTAATTGGCAGTAAATAGGCAAGACTACATATTTAAAGTCGCTATGCATACGCTGGAAACTGGATATAAATTCGCCTGGTTTAAAAACCATATTGTATGGTATTCTGGTCATATATGCAAGACTGAGAATTTCTGGTGGCTGTCTACTCCAGACAATGTACCTAAGTCTCGAATAAAAATTAAAAGTACGATAATCAAGTAGCCTACAGCTTACCCTGAACAGAAATGACAAATCAATATCGATTGTTTTTCGAACATGTTTAAATTTCAATTTTTTGCACACAGCCTTCAAAACAAACGTTAAAAATTAAAAAAAGTAAAATCGCCGAATTTCCAATTGTGCTCGTTTTCTTATTAGGAGTTAGACAGATCTGCTTAATTCGAGTTGACCTTATTTTGAAAAAACTCTAGGCGTTCGGCGGTATTTGAACCCGCGTACTAGAGAAGGCATTTACCGGAAACCAACGCTAAGCTACAAACGCCCCACTTTGCGTCATGTATTCAATCACACTTGGGTCGATATTACCCGCCCTACTTAACCACTCCTATTGAATCCTCCAATACGGAACAGCAAGCTGACTGCCCACGCAGGGTTTCCTAAGCAATCATCTAGAATTTACCAGAATGACTACTAGGCTGACTTAATTATTAGGAGGTTTGGCAGATTTGCTTTTGAGTGGACCTAAATTGAAATACGGGCACCCCAAGATATTGTATTGAAAAGAGGAAAGGCTTCTTTGGGAATCTTTAATCTGTGAATTTTTGAGGCTGGTTCCCCAGCTCATCTTCGGACTATGGGATATGTACAAGAGCAATTAACTTCATAAACCCTGTCTGACAAACTGTAGTGCAATTAGCTACTGTCCGCGTCTCCCAATTGCGTGTATTGAAAGACAAAAATCGATGGAGAAAATGTTTTGCAAAATCGTTTCCTTATTCATAGAATTCAGGTAGGAGTTTAATTGAGGTCACAAAACAGCATGCCGAATTCCCATCCCTGTTAAATACGAGACCGGTGGTAATGAAGCTTATATAGTTTGGGCAGAACGGACGAATGAAAATGTAAATATGCAAGACGAGTGTATAAAATTCGAAAATTGGAATCATTATTTAAATGATATAAGGTTAAAAAACAACGACAAAAAGGCGTGCCATAGATAAAATGTGCAATACTCAAATACCGGGTACTGTGAAAATTTGCGGAACAACGCAAAGATATATGGATTTCCGCTTTTACCTTAAAATGAATTGAAAAATCAAATGAAACTACATGTCACTACTAAAAAAAAACTTAACTAGAAACTTAAACTAAAGTCAACTTACTTAAGATGGATAAACTGAAGAAAGCTAAAATAAATAAATTGATAACTACAATAAAACTTAAACAAAACCAATGAAGCATAATTATGAACTTAAAACTAAACTCAAACTAGAGCTTTATATAAATACATTAAGTAAACCAAACTAATCGAACTAAGTTCAAGTAAACTACTAAATGTTTTAACTCCAAAAGCAACCGCATGTGGCTA